AGGTGTAAGGAATTGTAGTGATCATCTAGTCCAGTGATTCTGAAAGTTTCTGGTCTCTTAAAAATGATCAAGAGTCCTCCAAAGAGCTTTTGTTTGTGTGTGTTATATCTATATTTATTATATTAGACACAAAAACATCCTAGTATTAGGAAAACAGTTTTGCCCTCAAAGGCCCCCTGAGTCTCTGGGGTTCACTGTGCCCCCTAGTTTTAAACTGTAAAAGATGGGGAATCAAACCAAAGAATCAGGATTCTACCTGTCATTGGTTCCTCTCAAGGGAGAAGCATCATCAGATGGACCATTATTGTTTTAAATGTAGTGCATAAAAGGCACATACACACTTTTTTCATTGGGAGTAGACTATTTTTTTAAAACTTTTTTAAAGTTTTCAACACATACACTTTTGTAAATGAACTTCATGATAATTCCCTTTGTAATGAAAATAATTGCTCTCTAATGCATCTCTCATAAATGAAGATCATCTTAAATCCTACACGTTTTATCCTCTAACATAGAAGAAATGGCTTGTCAAGTTAACAAAATTACTTTTATTGTAAAAGACAAAATGGTAAGGGTTTTGCAGTCTTTTACCTGATTAAATGCCACTTTTTTCTAGTAAAACTTCAAAACCACACATTTTATTGGAAGGAAATGGGATTCATTTACCAAAGAAGTTATGTTAAAGTAAGAGCAGTTAGTTTTTACTTGTTTCAGTGTCTGTTATGTAGATATTACTATCTACAATGAAAATGCAAAAGAATCAGAGATGGGAAAAAAATAAAAGATTGTAATCTGGTGCTATATTATAATTCATTGGTTCACATCAGCATTTATGCATATTTACAACACAGTAGTAGTTGTCCTAAGGCACTGCAAGATCTAGAAATGCCTGCTAAATTATTAAAATAGAATTATGTTCTGTGATATTAATCATTTTATTATATTCTAATTCTTTGAAAATTATTAATCTATGTATAGTATACGTGATAATCCAAATGCTGAAGTAACCAATAAATTTAATTCCCCTACTGTCAGGACAAGAAGTTTCTATGATTTGATGCCTGCTTGGGCTCCTTAAGTTTTTACTCTAGGTATTTACGATCTGGCAACAATGGCAAGTAGGTGGCTCAGTGCATAGAGTGCTGGGCCTGGAATCAGGAAGACCCGAGTTCACATGTGACCTCAGACATTAGCTGTGTGATCCTGGGCAAGTCATTTAATCTCTGTTTGCCTTAATCCAGTGGAAAAATAAATGGCAAACTGCTCTAGTATCTTTGCCAGGAAAATTCCGTGGACAGTATGGTGTGCTATGTTCCATGGGGTCATGAAGAGTTGGACACAACTGAACAAATCTTCTTTTCCTTTCCACATTTTCACCTTTTGTTGAAAAGTCTGGGCAGTTAGCAGTCATTTAAAACCTAGCCTTAAATTAAACTTCACCCACTCGTACTTGTTCAGATGTGCCTAACCCCAGTTCTGTCTGGACTAACTCATTATTTTGCCCCCTCATGTTTTGATTGCTTTATGTGTGATTGTTAATTTATGTATAAGTACCTTCTTAGCAGCTCTTAATGTAAACATAATGAATATTTGAGTGAAATATACTACCTACCAAGAATTCTTAGAATGGGTCAGATGGTGCTTTTATAGTTATCATAGCATTTTTAGTTTTTCAAAGCCACTTTCTTTTCCTGGAAGGAACTGGCTAAAAGATCAGGGGATTTTCATATATTTTTTTTAAATTAGGCAATCTGGGGTTAAGTGAGTTGCCTAGGGTCACACAGCTAGTAAGTGTCAACTGTTTGGTCTGAAGCCAGATCTGAACTCCAGGGCCCATGCTCTATCCACTGTGCCACCTAGCTGCCCCAGATCAGGGGATTTTCTTTTGTCAACCATGCACAATCCTTCACCTAGTTAACTCCCAGTTCAGTACTCTATTAAATTCCACTGTCATTTGAAGTTTAGATACCACTTTGTGGACATACCTGTTTCCTTCCACTTTACCAGGAACTACCATTATGCCACCATAATATCTTTCTGCCAAATTTCTTGCTTACAGATAAATGACTTGCACCAAAGTCACAGAGCTAGTAGATGGCAGGACTGGCTGGGATTGGAGCCCAAGGTTTCTAATTGGTTCAGTGTTCCTTTTACATTGCTGTGAAGATTTCCACTCCATAAGGATCCCAAAACTTGATAATTTAAATATTTCACTGTTTTTTCATTGCAAATTTGTTATAGCCAATTCTTTGATTATTCCCACGGTGAAACAATCACTAACTGTGCTGTGGGTTGTTTTTGTACTTTTATTATCCAAACTTCAGGGTAGGGGGGATAAAAGTCATTAAAACACTTGAAATAAAAGTCCTAGGCAAAAGCAAATGATGTGAGGTATGAATTAATAACTGCTTTTTCATTATCTCTTATAGGTTTATTTGGAAGGCAAAAGTGTCCAAGGGGGAAGCACTGTAACTTTCTTCACGTATTCAGAAATCCCAACAATGAATTTTGGGAAGCTAATAGAGACATACATATGTCTCCAGATTGGAGTAATACTTCATTTGGTAAAAACTCAGAAAGGAGAGATAGAATAGGTTACCATGAGGAATATTATAGCAGATCAAGGAGACGGCGAAGTCCCAGTCCAGATCATTCTTACAAAAGAAATGGGGAATCTGAGAGGAAGAAAAGTAATCATCATAGGAGTAAGAAAAAATCTCATAAACATTCCTCCAAAAGTCATGAAAGGCGACGTTCACGAAGTAGAGGAAGAAAGAGGGATCGGAGCCGAAGAAGCAGGAGCCAGAGTAGAGGCCGGAGAAGCCAAAGCAAAAGTACATCCAGGTCTAGGAGTCGGGATAGGAAGAGGTCATCCAGCAGAGACAGAAATACTTAAATCACAAACAAAATGCATTTTTTTTATACTGAGACATGTTAATCTCAAAAAAATGTATCTTTTAGGGCTGCCAGTTACTTTTCTCAATTTAAAACCAGCTTTTCAAATCCAAAATTGTCCTGTATATAATACAACTCAAAAGGTAATTTTTCAACCAGAATTGCTAAAGGTGTTTGGAACTCAGTTTGGACTTTTGAAAGTTTAATCCAACACTCTCTGCACTTTAAAAAAAAAAAGAGAGAGAGAGAGAAATTCCCCCTTCCCCCAACTAGAAAGCTAGATCTTTTTCTAGCTGTGTTCCCTTATAATAGATACCTGGCTGTTTGGGATAGACTGAAGTTGAATCACTTCCACTACAGCTACTGAATATTCTTGTTTACAGCAGCACCAGTAACACAAATGTTATTTATAATAGATTGGACAAAAGGGATAATAAATTTGAGAAAGGGAAACAAATTTTGCTTTTGCCTTAACACCACAGCATGCATAAGCTTAAAATGGAAATGTTACTCTTGGTTTTCTTATTAGGAAAAGCTTTCCCTTTGCAAGATACACAGCTTTACTCCTACTAATAACTATTTCAAAGTGGAAATAGCTAGGAAATTTAACTAAGATGAGACTTTTTTACGTGAAACAAAGTAGAGGAAATGGAGAAATGGCTATTTTAAAAGTTGGATATGGTATGGAAGAGTTTTTAACTTACCTTCTGTGAAAAGAACTTAAGTGGTGGACTGTGCTGCTTATTTTATAAATCTTGATCTTCCAGCTGTTTTCTGAAGCAGGACTGTTCATGTTCCTGAAAATGCTCTAATTGTTTTTACTATAAAACTGTTCTGTAATTAACTTTCAATAATGAATATTGTTATGCATATGACTTTGTCCCAAATAAGTGTACATACATGATTAAATAATGTGAAACCTGTAATTTTGTCTTAACATTCCATTAAAAAAAAGTTAGCCATTTGATCTGGAAGTGGTCATAAAATGGGTTTGGAGATAACTTGATAATATGCAATATTATCTGAGGGACAGATATTTTGTTTCTCTGCCTTTCCTCTTTCCCGCCCTCTAACAAGTTACACTTGAACTGGTTGTTCAAAATCTTGAGTTTTCCTTGACTAAATTCAAGGAAGGTGCAGTCTTGCTTGAGTTACCAACCAGGACTGTAGATGAATTTGAAAACTGAAAAGCTGTTTGCTCTTCAAACATCCTGGCCCAAACTAATTTATTTAAAGCCTGGACAAAATGGAAATGTGGCTTGTTTTCTATTTCAAGGATCTGTGGTTTCCATTGATACAAACTGTAAATCCTTTTACATCTTCAGTAGATAGTCTTAAGTTGCTTCTCTGAACCTGACCAGATTTTAGAGAAGGCACAGTGTTAACCACCAAAATATATCAACATTTTAAGTTTTTCCAGTGTAGTAGAAACTCCTAGAACTTGTGTTCTGCTGGCATGGCCTTCAGGAACCCCAAAGACCACCTTACCACATGTAAAGATTATGGAATTTTCCAGACATAGTAAGACTGCCCATTTAAATTTAAGATTATCAAAAAACTTCAAGTGTTGGTGATTTGATTCACTTCATATGTACAAGCTAATTCTCTGAGGATATAAATTAATCTCTGGTTACCATTTTTGTAACTAGCTTTTTTGTACAGCAGAAGAACTGAACAAAAAGATATTATGACTTGGTAATTTCTGAAAAGCATCACAAAATCTAATTATCCTTAGTATTTATTCAAGATAAAGGCTCTGGTTTTATTTTTATTTGACTATTTGGAACGAAAATGTTCATATAAAGATGCTCTTTCAGAAAGAGTACAGATTAAGTGTATAGAAGTGTAAATGTTGCTATTGTTTTGTAAAATAAATGTAAATAATTCAAAGAGTGCATTAGTAGCATTCTTATATTTAATAAACGTGAAGTGTTTTGTGTGAAAACCTAATTTAAATCTAGTTTGTGTTCACTTGTAAGAAGACTATGTTTAATGAAATTTAATTTTATTTCTATTTAAGAAAGGAACTTAACAGTCTCATTGGAATCTCCCTCTCCAGCAGCTGTCTACTAACAAACCTTTGCATAGAGATAAACACACTGCAATGGTGTAAGAGTGGACATTTATTATAACTAACGTATGTGATAAGACAATGATCACAGCCTAAATATTGGTCACAATCACAAAGCTTAATCCAGCCAAGCACATACAAGTAAGTGAAAGTGTAAACCTTGAAGACATGTTTAAATACATACGAAAATGGTATTGAAACTGAATTGTAACAGCTTTTTAAAAAATCCCCCTATTGTCATTTTACCTCATCCAGCTAACATTTTTACATGAGAGATAGATATATGTAGATATGTATATATATGATGAATATTTTCTGACTAGGAGGTGGCATGAAAGGAGAAAAATGTCAAATTAGTGGTACTTTATGGAAAAAAAAGTACAGGGAAAATTTAGTTAACCAGAATAATACTAACAGTGGAGCAAACTTAGCCAATGTGATACTTTGTGAACACAGCCAAGGTTTATTTGAGATAGCAATAATACTAGGCAACTCAGCATTTTGATTGATAACATCCTATGTAAGTAGATGTTTTCCTTAGCTCATGGAAAAATGAGGTAAACAGTGGCAGTATAATGTATCTGGGGGGATAAAGATAATCCATTTAAGTTGTAAAATTATGCTTAAAGAAATCTCACATAGAATATAACGTCTAACCATTTTCATAGTGTACATTATGTGCTCATATTGTAGTATCTTCAGTCCAAATTCCTGCCTTCAACTAATAGTCAATGTAAAACAGGATTGTTCTGATTAAAGTAACCTATATTCCCTTTAACAGTAATATCCCTTTAGTCTCAGAAATGTATGTTTTTTCAATAAGCTACCAGATATGTAATTCCCAATAAGTATCTTTGGTATACATGTATATGTTTAAGTTTCAGCGGTAATGTTAAAATTTAAATCATTTTGATATGTAAAATCAGTCAATTTTTCACATTCCCATAAATACTGAAATGTAACACTAGTCTTTGGTTGCATAAAACCATATTGAAACATTATTACATTTACTTTTACGTCGATACAAGTGTAGCTTCCTTTCAGTTGAATGCAGTAATAGCAACAAATGTGCTTCCTGATTGTGATTTTATGTGTATATCATAATTATCACATACAAATAAAATTAATGGGAAACTGAATTCAACCTTTGAGGATACGGAAAAGATATTTCTTCTGCATCAAGTTTTAGTTAACATTTAAGTCCCTTTAAAAAAAAAGCTAATACTTTTTATTCCCTTTTGAAAAAGTGGAGTGTTTTTATGTAGGCCTGAATGAAGCGGCTTAGCAAAACAGTAATACTGACAAACAGCATCTTACACCATTAGCTAAACATTGACATGAAGGCAGTGAACATCTACAGTATGTGAGACCACATGATGTCATCAACATGGGAGATGGCTTATGTCAGTCCAATTTCTTCAAGAACACTACGTGGGGTTTCAGCTTCCTGTGAAGGGAAAATTCAAGAGTCTGGTAAGCAGATCTTGTGGGTTTTAGAATTTTAAGACTGTTCTGTGAAGAATTTGCATGGGAAAATGCTTATTTGAAAGCCAAAAAATTTTAAATGCCAAGTGTGAGTAGCAAGAAGAAAAGAAAATGGCGTTTTAAAAAATATTACTGAAGCAATGGGTCATATGCATTTACAGTAGCTTTCAACCTTTATGGCTCAAAACATTTTACAGGATGAGATCATGAAACACAGAGTTTAACAGTTAAAAAGCCCACTGAAAAGTAAATTCAGTCAAATTTCTCCACTTGAACCAGCAGAAACAGTATCCCAAGTTCCCTAGGTGTATTCATGTAATTTAGATCATTATTTGCTCTGACTGTAACAATGGAAATATTTTTCATGTATTTTGGAGTTGGTACCTTATGTTATTTTAAAACGTTAACATTTAACATCTTCAATAACCATTGTCAGATCTATCCAGAAGCAAACAACATTGGTAGAGGCAATGTATAGCAACAAGATATCAGAGCAGCAAATATATACAAATTAATTTCATAAATCCCAGAGTTAGGACTAAGACAAAGCAAGTATCTTTTGAAATTGTGAAAGATGATTACAAATTTTTAAACAATTTTACAATAGGTTTTGATTTACTAGCAACAGTTTTATCAAAAGGGAATACTGCAGTATTCTTTACGGAAACAAGCACTGATAATTTTATATGCACTCATGACTAAGTAAACTTACTTTAGCATCCTAAAACATGGTACAGCACAAAGCAAGGAAAAGAAAAATATTAAACAGTAAATCTTTAGAAAATAACACCTTTAGACGACACATGATAAAGTTTTATGTTCAGTCTAAATACAGGTACTTGGCCACATAAACCAACCTTTAAGAATAAGTATATATGCTTTTTGACATTTTGTTATTTTTATGTGCATTGATGTGTGTAGAAGCAGGTATATTTTGTTATTTGTGGAAAGGACAAAAATATAAAATTTGTTCACTGTCACTTGTGAAAATGACAAAATTTAGGGGATGGCTATAAAATGTTAAAATCGGTCAGAGAATAACTGAACAAATTCATTAAAAAATTCTAAGAACTCTATCATAATGACTAGAGGGGATACATGTATACATACATACACACTCACATATACACACATTTTTTTTTCCTGCTCATCATTGCAGCCCATTAAGTCATAGTCTACACTATGCATAAAACCTGACCAATTTTAGCACTATTCTGGATACACCTACTCAGTTAAGAACTACTATTATGGAGCTATTCCTTAGAGCTAGCAAGATCAACAGATTTTTTTAAACATTTTCCCAACACTTGAACAAATACAAAATGTGCATTTCTTCATTTGGATTACAGTAGTTAATGTAGAACAGACGTATCAATCTCTTGAGTATTGCCCAAAGCTGGTTAAAATGTAACTGAGAAATGTTTAACAAAATAAATAAAAGTAAATATGACATAGATAATGTTATTTTGTGATTTTCTATGTTATTATTCAGCCTGCAGGGATCCATTTCTCTTTGAGTTTGACCTCACTGATGTAGAATACACTTTCAAAATTATATACAAACATACATATATACATACATATAGATACATATAAAACATTACCTGGACACACTGAAACCTAAAACAAATTCTCCTAGGTAGATGCGATAAGGTGGAGAAGGAAAGCCATTCACATGAGACAGGGTACATGCAATATTTTTATTTTAGACATGCCAAGAAAGCTATTTCAGAATGTAGTCCTTGAAAGCAAGCAGCTATATACAAAGAACGAAAAGCAACATTTTGGTTCAGCTCAGCACACAGCGTTTTTAGCCAACAGGCATGATAATGTGCGTGTTAACATTACATTAAATACTGTATTACCTTAAAAAATAATTCTTAGGAAAAAATACTATTAACTAGGTCCCAAAATACAGTATATTCCCAATCTGATTAACCCTTTTGTGATAGTACAAATATTATTTTATGATTAAAAATACAAATAACTTAATTCCTAATGACCTGCCTAACCTACTTTGATAGGCTGTCACAATGATTAGTTTGATTAAATAATCATTTTGAAGGTGATTATGCTTCTTAATGGCCTACTGATTTACTCTTCATAGTTTCCATGAAATTATATGGAATTTTTCCTTCTGAAATATAATAGATATTGAATTAAAAGCCTATATAATATTGACAAGTAAGCATGCAAGTTTTAATGTATTTCAAATATATAAAATCAGAACTATGAAAATGTACATTTAGACTTTTCATCTAAAGGTGCTGTCCTTATAAATATAAGCAGTAGTAAAAGTTTTGAAGAATCATTATTGTTTAATACTAGCTAGCATCCAGTGCAAAAAGACAATAATTAAATCATTCAGCAAATGCAGAATTCTACCCTTCTGCATACCAGCTTAATGAATGATAAATCATTTTTTGTGTTAACCACTGTACTATAATATGCCTTGGAGTTTCTATTTATATTTTTCCTTTGTTATTTGTACATATACTTAAATATGCAGAGTTATAGGACACATCCATTATGCAATCTGAGATTATCATTTTGAAAAAAAATAGTATTCTACATACCAGTACTGCTGGTTTGGGATTAGCTTTAGTGGGCCATATGCCACTATGCTACTCATTTTGGCTATATTGGAAACATTTTCTTTTAAATATAAAATTAATCACAGATGGTTGGTTAATAACAAGCATGTGCTTAAGATGAAAACTTTACTAAAAACATACACACATCATATATTTCATGAAAAAAGATTAAACCAGATAATGACAGAAACAAACTACATCAAGATGACATGGGGAAAAAACAATGTCAATGTGGGGGTGTAAATAGGGAAAACAAAGTACAACAGTAAAATGGTTATGCTTTCTATGTTCAAGATGATTTGTTTCACCAGCTGTTCTGTCATAAGTAAATCAGTTCTATTTCCTCTGTGAAATTCTGCATACTCGATGAGTGATGTCATTTAGTACACAGGGACATTAAAGTATTCATGGCGTGGCTACAAAAGAAATGCATACATTCTTATATATGGTACACAAATGGACATATAACACAACATTAATTCTATTTGGATGTTCTATGTCTCATACAGTTACCATATACTAACATTTCACTTAGGAGGCTATATATTAATCTAATAAAAATCTCAATTAATTGGAATGAGGGGAGGGAGAAAATATGCATTGATTTTCAGGAAAACTAGGTAAATGAAAGAAACACTGAAAAATGGATTTATATATTCATTAAAACTTCTGAGGGATGTTCTAGAGACAAGACATATTCATTTTAATCTTTTATGCCTACAATACAATTATACAATCATAGAACTTTAATACTAGAAGAAATGTCAAGGATAATATAGTACAATCCTCTCATTTTACAAATGAGGAAAGTGAGGACCTGAGAAGTGACAAAAACTATCACCTAGATCATCTGACTCCCAGTCCAGTGCTTTCCCCAACCTCCCTTACCGTAACAATGGGCATTAATGTTCAAAATTATAGCACTGAAACACTTCGAGATCCTGAAGCATCTAAGTAGGATTCAATTATGTTAGCTACATTGTATTTGCTGAGGCAGGAAAAGTGGACTAATAAGTTTTGGAAAGATTTTCAACAAGAATTTTGTGATCAATGCTGAGTCAACCAAAAAATTCTGCCAAAATGCACCCATTAAGTGCTCCAGTTAATCAAGGTTTTATTATACTTAGGAAGGGAATTTAATCTCAATGAAAACAATTAGAACTTAAGGTGACTATAAATCTCCTTACAGATCAAAAAGGAAAATCTTTCCCAAGAAAAAAACTCACTCACCTGGCATTTTAAGCTGCAAAAGAGCCAATTTCTTTCTTTTTTTTTTTAATTAGGGGAAAAAAGGCACAATGCAACTACTGCATTACATTAAGAATGTGTTCTTAAGATTTGGGGATATAATATTTATTAAAGAGGAATTATATAAAGAACTCCCTGTCTTAGTTGTATTAAGTAGGATTTAAAAATATGTCTGCAAATTTGCCAAAGAATGTTTTTTTCATTAAAGATAACATATGAATCCATGATAGTTTGTGTTCCCAACTAAAAGTGGCATTTTCAAAGTGTCCATAGTCTAACAATAACTCAATTTGAGGTCACTGTTGCAATTGTAAAATCACTTAATAAAATATGCACCCACATCGGATATTCTTGCTTAGAATGTGTGAGAATGAAATGCTGACGTTTTAGCTCAGGTAGTTCCTAGTCAATTTTGGATGTGTTTTTATTTTTTAAGCAGGGCAGAATTATACCTAAATGAAATGAAGTAAAATGGGGAAAAAAATCAAGACAGTGTTTAGCATTTTTTAAGGTGAATATAAAATGCTACAACTAAGATGAGAAAGCAACTGTAAATGAGCAAAGTAAAAACAGGCACTGAAGATACTCCCCTTATTTTCATAGGTAAATTCTGTTTTTGTATAATCAACATATCTATAGTTTGTGGGTATCTTGGGAAGTGATAACATTTATATTACTTTATGAAAACCAATCATTTCAGAAAAATATTTACAGAATATAAGTCAAATTACATTAAAGCAAAATCTTGTGTGTAATATACAGATGACCATAATATAAAATGAAAATTAAAAGGAAGCCTAGCTCTGAATAATTGTAATGACCGATCTTGATCCCAGAACAGATCCCCGAATAGCTGAACCTACTCTTCCCGCCTCTGAGGAGGAAAGAACGTTTTACACAGTATTAGACAAAATAACTGTATTGATTGTTTTTTCTTTGCTACAAGGGAAAATTCAATGCTGGCTTGGGAAAGGATGTATCTGGAAATGACTAGGATACACACACACACACACACACACACACATACATATATACATACATATATACCATATATGTATATACACATACACACACACACACACACATATGTATATAAAAAGTACCAATAAAACATTAAAAA